CTAGCCTATTATGTCCCTTGAAGGCTGACTTGTATGAGCTGCATCAACAGGTTTCTTTGCCTTCTAGCTTCTGGTTGTCTTAGGTCAATGGAGAGAACCAGCAGGAGATTGTTGGAGGGTGAGAGGTAGGGGGTTTATGTGTCCTGGATAACTCTCTCTGGGCTTCCTGTGGGCTGACTGCCTTTCAGAACTGAAGGTCACAACTGGTATCAGGCAACCCTTTCCAAACACCTCTTTCACCAGGTTCAGATTACTGCTGTCTACTCCTACCCCTTTATAGTGATGTCACCAGGCTGGAGGTACTGTGCAATTCCTTGTGGTTTTTCCCCATCTTCCCATATATTTTTATTTTTTAAATAAGTTCATCTGTACTACTTTTTTTGGGCTGCACTGCGAGGCATCAGTCAATCAGTTCAATTGCTCAGACATGCCTGACTCTTTGTGACCCCATGAACTGCAGCACACCAGGCTTTCCTGTCCACCATCAACTCCCAGAGCTTGCTCAAACTCATGTCCATTGAGTTGGTGATGCTATTCAACCATCTCATCCTCTGTTGTCCCCTTCTCCTGCCTTCAATCTTTCCCAGTATCGGGGTCTTTTCCAATGAGTCAGTTCTTCCCATCAGGTGGCCAAAGTATTTCCAAAGAATATTCAGGACTGATTTCCTTTAGGATCGGCCAGTTTGATCTCCTTGCAGTCCAAGGGACTCTCAAGAGTCTTCTCCAAAACCACAGTTCAAAAGCATCAATTCTTCGGCTCTCAGCTTTCTTTATAGTCTAACTTTCATACCCATACATCAATACTGGAAAAACCATGGCCTTGACTAGATGGACCTTTGTCAGCAAAGTAAGGTCTCTGCTTTTTAATACTCTGTCTAGGTTGGTCAAAGGTTTTCTTCCAAGGAGCAATCGTCTTTTAATTTCATGGCTGCAGTCACTATCTGCAGTGATTTTGGAGCCCAAAATATAATGTCTATAACTGTTTCCATTGTTTTCCCATTTATTTGCCATGAAGTGATGGGACCAGATGCCATGATCTTAGTTTTTCGAGTGTTGAGTTTTAAGCCAGCTTTTTCACTCTTCTCTTTCACTTTCATCAAGAGGCTCTTTAGTTCTTCTTCACTTTCTGCCATAAGGGTGGTGTCATCTGCATATCTGAGGTTATTGATATTTCTCCTGGCACTCTTGATTCCAGCTTGTGCTTCATCCAGCCCGGCATTTCACATGATGTACTCTGCAGATGAGTTAAATAAGCAGGGTGACAATATACAGCCTTGACATACTCCTTTTCCAATTTGGAACCAGTCTGTTGTTCTACGTCCAGTTATAACTGTTGCTTTTTGACCTGTGTACAGATTTCTCAGGATGCAGGTAAGGTGATCTGGTATTCCCATCTCTTTAAGAATTTTCCACAGTTTGTTGTGATCTACACAGTCAGAGGCTTTAGCCTAGTCAATGAAGCAGAAGTAGATGTTTTTCTGGAATTCTCTAGTTTTTCTATGATCCAGAGGGTGTTGGCAACTTGATCCCTGGTTCCTCTGCCTTTTCTAAAACCAGCTTGAACATCTGGAAGTTCTCAGTTCACATACTGTTGAATCCTAGCTTGAAGGATTTTGGGCATTACTTTGCTAGAATGTGAAATGAGTGCAATCGTGTGGTAGTTTGAACATTCTTTGGCATTGCCTTTCTTTGGGACTGGAATGAAAACTGATCTTTTCCAGTCCTGTGATCACTGCTGAGTTTTCCAAATTTCCTGGCATATTGAGTGCAGCACTTTCACAGAATCATCTTTTAGGATTTGGAATAGCTCAACTGTAATTCCATCATCTCCACTAGCTTTTGTTCATAGCAATGCTTCCTAAGGCCCACTTGACTTCATTTTCCAGGATGTCTGGCCCTAGGTGAGTGATCCCACCATTGTGGTTATCTGGGTCATGAAGATCTTTTTTGTATAGTTCTTCTGTGTATTCTTGCCATGTCTTCTTAATATCTTCTGCTTCTGTTAGGTCCATACTTTTTCTGTCCTTTATTGAGCCCATCTTTGCATGAAATGTCCCCTTGGTATCTCTAATTTTCTTTAACAGATCTCTAGTCTTTGCCTTTTTATTGTTTTCCTCTTTTTCTTTGCATCGATCACTGACAAAGGCTTTCTTATCTCTCCTTGCTATTCTTTGGAACTCTGCATTCAAATGGGTATAGCTTTTCCCACTGTGGGATGTGGAATCTTAATTCCCCAACCAGGGATTGAACCCTCCCCCCGCCACACACATTAGAAGTCAGAGTCTTAATCACTGGACTACCAGAGAAGTCCCTTTCCATATCTTTTAAAATACTTCCTTTGTGATACTCTCTCCAAATGAGGTTTCCCATTTTCTGCTGGAACCTTGACAGATACAACAACTTAAGAGATACTATGGCTGAGATAGGCAGAGGGAAGTTAAGTAATTTGCCCAAGGTTCCAAAGGGAGGAAATAATACTTGTAGGCTATGTCACAATTATTTATGTATCTATCTTAAACTAACTTGCATTTTTTTATTAGAAAAGATAAGCATAATATTCAGTACAAATAAGCAAAATGAAGAGAGAAAATACATTTCTGCCCATCTATTCCATCCATTATATATTTAATAAGATTCCCACATTTTTATCTCCAGTCAAATTCCTACATTGAGCCTCAGGCTGTATATTCAATTTTTTATCATATATGCTTCATTTGGATGTCTCAAAGGCACTTGAAACTCAATATGTCCAAAAACAAGTTATTTCATGATCTTCCCAATCCTATCCACAACCAAGTACTGTCAATTTTACATGTAAATGTCTCTAGTATGTCCATATCTCTCCAGCTCCACTGCCACCACCCACCTTAGTCCAAGACACCACCATCTCTTTCTTCGGAGAGCTCCAAATGTTGGTCTCCCTGTATTTATCCATCTACTCTTGTCCACTTCAATCTATTATTCACATGGCAGACAGAGAGACCTTTTCAAAATTCCATCCAGTCATAGTGCCCCTTGCTTAAAACCAGGAAGTGGCTTCCACTGGTTTAGAATACAGACCAAGGATCTTATTTTGGCCCAGCTGATCTCAGCAGCTTTGCCTCATGTGCTTCTCTACTTGCCATAGCTCCATGGGTTGGCTTTCAACTGTTCCAATGAACTATGCTTCTTTCTACTATGGGGCCTCCTTGTTCTCTCTTTCTGGAACATTTTTACATACACCCTCCCTGGCAATGTTAACTTCCAGAATGGTCTAGACACTCTTACACTTTATTGCTATGGACCTTTCCAAATTAATATTTATCAGAGTTTGAATTGACACACCAACTATGTGGTTTATTTCCTCCACAGCTCCTCTAGTAAGCTGTATAGCAATGAAGGTCTCCAACTGTCTTGTGTCACCTGTGTATCCCAAGTACCTTGTCCCATGCCTAGCCCATAGTATGAAATCAAATATTTGAATGAAAATAATGCAGTGGGAATAATGAGAAAGTTGGACAGAATCATATTAGAAAGTGCTGAATTCTTTATTATTTCCTGTTTCTTTGCTTCCAAGTCTAAAAATGATACCAATTTAGTCATGTTTCAACTCCTTTACTAGAAAGTAAAAACTATTAAAACTGGATAAAGAAAAAAATTAAATTTGTATTTTAGTTTCCTCAAGAAGATACTATTTGATACGAATGGAGGTATCAGGGTAGGCGGGCGTGCAAGAGAAATGTTTGTAAGTGCCAATAGATTATCATTAATTTCTTAGAGTTCTCAACATTTACTCTGAATTCACGTCAAAATTACATCTTTTTGAGGGCTCTAGTGATGACAAATCCAGCTCTAGGAGGATAAGATGGAAATTAAGGGATAAAACTAGCAAAACAAGAGACTGATTGCACAATAAATCATATGCACTTAATATTCCTTCCAGTTGAAAGGGAAATAAGCTTTCTTTTTTAAAATTTGTTTCTGCACTTTAGTCATTCATTGACCTTCGCTTTTAAACTGTATGTCCCACTTAATCTGTGATTTTGAGTTCTTAACTTTTTCGCCTACTTGCTTCGAGTTTGTTTAAGAACTTCAGCTTGAAAAACCCTATAGACCACCAATAACTGCCAAATCTTCCCCTAGGGACACCTCTCACTGCGCCCCGCCCTCTCTCGAGGGAGGGACCGCGACTGCGCAGACCTCCCTGTGATGTCACAAAAGAGCCAAACCTGGTGGCCGGGAGTTGAGGTGGGGGCAGCCCTGCTATCGGCCTTTCAGGTCCGCTTCCTTCCCTAAGACCACCCCACTACCCCAGCCCAGTCCTCCCCTTTTAGTTAAATCGTTAAGAATAAAAGCACCAGGTTGAATCTCCACGTGGCCACGCCCATACTCTCGTCAGGCCACACCCCCTACTTGAGTGGCGTCCCCCAGGCACCACCGGCAGGAGGGCTCCCGCTCGCGGCGAGTACAGGCGGGGAAGGCGGAGCCAGGCCTCTCCAGCGCCTAGTCTTTCAGCCCCATAGCGGGCCTGGCTCCCCGGGCTGGGCTCTAAGAGTGCCGATCCCGGCCAGCTTGGGCGGGAGAGGCGCGCGCCCCTGAGTGAAGGGTGAAGGAGAGTAGAACATCGCCCCCAGCCCCGCTCCCCCTCCCCCGCCCCGCGCTCCAGATCAGTGAGCGCACCCAACTCGGCTGCCCCCTTCAGCGGCGGCCGCCGCGGCGGGAATGGGCGCGAATTACAACGTTCGCCGGGAGTCGGAAACCTCCCGGCCCAGGTTCTGGAGGCCGCCAACATCGCGGGCGTAGCCTCGTCCTCCTCGTCCTGGAACACCAGTTCAGAGTGGTTGACCTCCCACCAGCATTCCAGCTGCCTGTCGAACACGTCCACAGCAGCGGACGCCAGATACACCCGAGGCTGCAGCGCGCCCTCCCAACTCATCCCGGGTTTTGGCTTAAGAACTGACACAGGTCTCAGGGTTGGCATCCGGGGCTTTGGCGCCCGCGGCCTGAACGACAGGGTCAGTATGTCTGCCCTCCGCCCGACCACCACAGACGAGGCCGCCTCGACCTCTAACCTGGGCCCCAGCAACCCCCGGGTATCCGTACAAGGATCTGTCCCGCCCTCAAGGTCTCCCCGATTGCCCCTACAGAACACCTTGCACTCAGCACCGGGCTCCACCCAGATATCAATAGGAGAAACTCCTAGACCCACTAACACCTTCAGAGGGTCGGTGCAGGGGTCCATCTCGCCCGTGAAGCCCGCCTTTATCAAAATATCGGCACCAGCACCTCCACCACCCAATAACACTCCCCCAGTGTTACTACTTGGATTAACCTCTCCCTCAGTATCCTGCTCCACCTTGGGTTCGGTGCAAGGACCACCTACACCCAATAACTCCCCCCCACTATCAGGACAAGAGTCCAACCGTGTCTCCATGCCCGACTCCCAGCAGTTAGCTGCAGAAAGATCTGCCCCGCTCTCAGCCTTGTCCCGAGAGTCGGTACAAGGGTCTGCCCCGCCCTTGGTGGTCAGCTTTCCTGAGAGTTTGGTGCGAGGATCTATCGCGATTTCGGACTCCTCCCGAGTGTCGATTCGAGGGTCCCCCCCGCCCTCAGATCTTAGCACCCCTCAGAGTTCGATACCAGGACCTCTTACTCCCGTGAACTCTCAAGTGTCCACACAAGAGTCCACTCAGCTCTCAGAGCAAAGTTACCCCCAAAGATTAGTGGAAGGATCGGCTCCACCCCTGGATTCCCCCGGGGTACCAGTACCAGGGGTCGCTCCGCCCTTGGAGCCCGGCTCCGCCCAGGAATCGGTGGAGGAATCGGCTCCGCCTTCGGGCTCCCCCCGAGACTCGGTAGAAAAGTCCGCTCCGCCCTCGGCCAGACCCACTCCTGTACCCACGCCCCGGGAGAGCCGCAACCAGAGCATGGAGAGTCTGCAGAAGACGAGTGACGCGGGCCAGATGTTCGACGTAGTCGTGATAGGAGGCGGCATTTCAGGTCAGTCTGGACCGTAGCACTAGCCTGAGGGACCCTGGCCGGCCCAGTGTGGGGGACTTGCCGTCTGAAAGTGGCGTTTGGGGGCGGAGGTGGGTGGGGGGGGTGGGTCTCCCTTGTGCATGCGAGACTGCTACAGCTGCCGGCCCCCGATCCTGCGAGGAGGGAATGGGATTGAGCCGGTGGTGTGACCTGGGGGAGGCAGGCACAATAATTTTTACTACTACTACGAAATACTAATATTTAATTAGCTCTTGCCGTGCAGTTGCATTTAGCAGTTTACGTGGATTTTCTCAGTCCTCAGCGGTCCTGTGAGGTGGGTACTCTATTCGTCCCTATTTTACAAAACCTAGAAACGGAGGTAACTCTGAGAAGTCACGTCACCCAGCTGGGAAAGTGACAATGGTTTTCTCTCACGTGAGACCCTTACTCCTAATTCCGGCGGTGGTTGTTCTGCCTTGCTGATTTCACGCCCTTTGCCCCAAACAGAACATCAGTTTATGGATTTTTGTAGTATATCGAAGTAGTAGTAGTGTTGTTCCAGTCCTGCTATTCTCCAAGTGCTTTTCCTTAGAAAATCTGGTAACTGGAGAGGAAGGAGGAAGAATCTTTTAGGAAAAGGTTTCTTTCTTTTTTTTAAAAAAAAGGTGGGGGCAGGGGGAGAGACATGGGCTCTTAGTTTTAATCTACTCCAACCTCCCCCCACCTTTTTTTTAGAACTCGCAGAAAGTGTAGGGCATTTATTGCTCAAAGGGAATCCCTCTGTGAAGCAGGGGCTGTGGGCAGATAAGGGAATACCCTGTTTGTGTCTTTCTCCACAGCCTGAATCTTGCCCTGTTATGAGGCAGCTGGCAAGCCTGTGTTCCTCTAGTCCCGGTTTGGGTTTGTAGCTGACCAACTGAGTGGTGTTGGAAGTTTCCTCGGATCTTCCTGGAAACCTCATCATGACTGAAACATTAAATTGTCACTTATGATGTCATATTTGGTAAAATGTTTGAAATTTAAGAATTGTGTTTCACGTCTAGATAGAGTCCCACACTAGTTTGTCCACGACCTGGGAGGATATTAATCATTTCTGAAATATACCTGCAGGATCTAATTTAGAAGGAGGAAGAAATGAGGTGGGAGGGAGTAAGTGGGGTGCCTCCAAGTAGCCATTTTTATGTATAATCCTTTGAGGAGACTCTGAACATGCTTACAGATGAATTTTGCTTGGAGATAGCTTTTGACTTGGCCTGTTTCGGGTAACATCTTTAACCACCAGGGAAGAAAGTGACTTGAGCTATTGCTCTGACAACTCCAGTCAGGGCCAGCAAAAACACATGTATGTCAGAGCATTAGGAAAGCAGATCTTGGTTGAGAGTATGAAAAAGTATTTCTCTTGTTCCCCTTCATTCATTTATTAGCTTCTTTATTCATTCAGCAAACACTTGTTGAGTGCCTGCAATGAAGTGGACTGGTGTTTCTAAAAGCCTGATTCTTGTATGCAAGCCTCCTAGATAAGCAATGTGATTGTTCATCACTGGATAATAAAGATGATGATAATGTGTTGTGTAAATTGACTAGGAGTTTCATCTCCGTTCCCCATCTCCATATCATTCATATTTCACAGTTTAGGGTTCTTACTGTGATTTTATGCCTGTCTTCTTCTTGTTCTAGTATCCCTTAGGGAGCATTTTGTCTTTTACTTTTTCTTTGCCTGATGACTGGCTCTTCTCCCTTTCCACACTTTACTCGAAGTAGTTGGTCATGAACAGAATTGGATTTACCATGTAGCTGATGTAAGGTTCTACAGCCTTAAAACTGCAGGTCCCTTCTGGTTCTCATCCTAAAAAAAATAATCAGTTTCATACTGAATCTTGTATTTGTAATTTTGTATTCTTTTTTTTTTCTTGAAGAGGCAACCAAATCATGTAAGCTTTAGGCTTCTCAAAATCTGGATCTTTCCATGGTCACTAAGAATTATTACTTTGTTCATTTCTACATGCGGGAAGAAGAGAGTATTTCTTGCACGGTAGTTCACACTCCTATTCCAGAACCCAACTTCCACTTCATCGGTGACAGTGGAAAAGGCACTGGGATTCCTTTAATATCATCTCTTATCAGTCAGATTTGATTTTAACACCAAAATTGACCAGAAACATTGCTTTCTGGCTGTGGTGTCTTGCCAGATGCTTCACAACTAAAATGAAAGTAGATGTAAGTCTAGCTCAGGATAAACCCTGCACATAGACGGGGTGTTTCCCAAGCAGGTGAGAGAGGTTACTTTGCAATGGTTCTTGAGCTCTGAAACACATCGTCTTTGTGTGTTCTTAGGAGTATCCCATGAGTTACTTAATAGTCCCTATATCAGTTTTAAATGCTTTTGGATATTTCTTAAAACTCTTGTCAGAACTGGCACATTTTAATGTGCCACATATATACATACTTATAATATATGGCCAATACTTTGCATCTGCTGTGTTATTCCTGTTATATAACAAAATAGCTCCACAAAGCATACAAATCCTAAATTCCTCAAAAGCAATCCATATGCACGGAATTATCTTTCATTTTTTGTAACTATCTCTGCACAAAGAACAGCAGCATCTTAAGGTATCTCCCTTTTGTCATTAAAAATCATAGAACAGAGCATGTCTTACAACCACAAGATCCCGTTTTCCTCCCACTCACCAGTTAAATTTTATGTATTTAATTGAGAAGGGGCAACCCTTCCTATTATGGTATCTTCAATATGCTCTGACCCTTCATCCATCATCTGTCATCCATCACCAACTCCTTTCTGGAACTTCTTTCATGCTTTTTGTAACATCATCAGATCCTGAATTTTTATCCTACACTGATTGCTCCTTTTCTAGTCCTTTCATTGGGCCCATATTCTTGCAACCTTCTGGTTTTGAAATGGCCTCAAGGTTCAGTTATTCATCACTTTGGGGCTCATATGCACTCTCCCCCTCTCTTTTTCATTCTAGGACCTCACCTTTCACTTTATCTACACAAAGCTCTTAAGTCTCTAGTTTGAATCTTTTGCTTTGTCCCAACTCCTGTCCCATAGCTTTTCTGCTCTTGGATATTTATATTTCAGAGTTGACTGTCTTATTCTCTCTTCATGTTCAACATGTTCCAAAGCCTCCTTGTCGTCCAACCCAGCTTCTCTTACTCACTTCCTCAACTCTGTTCTTGGCACCACTATCCTTTCCATCATTTGGGGCACTCCTTCTGTTTTATCTTCTGTGGCCAGTCAACAGATCCTTCTAACTCCTCCTTGGAGCTCTTTCATCTCTTGTATGTCCGCCATCCCCAGGAAGGACCCTTAACCCCTTTGACTAACCAGGTAACCATCTTCCTAATGACCACCCTTTGGGGTCTCCCTTCATGTCCATCCCAGACTTGATTTTTTTTAAAATACTTCTTTCATCAGCTTGTTCTGCTTAAGACATTCAGTGGTCTATTGCCAGCCTCTCAAGCTCCCCTCCCCACCCCACACAAGTATCTAGTCCCACCTTGTTGGACAAGTAGCATTTCCCACCATCCCTAACATGGCTTTAGTCACACTGCTGTCTTGTCTTTAATGCTACACCATGTTTATTTTGTTCCTCTGGTCCTTCCCTGTTTTTGTTTTTCTTAACACAGAAGTGCTTCTCTCTGAACATTTGTATCCTCTCCATTCTTCAATACCCGATTAAAGCCCTTTTGCTTGATCCTTTTGCCTCTCCTTGACTTTTCTCTCTTGTGGAGCTTGTAATCTATATCTGACCATTTGAACTTATTTTATGTCCTATGTCTTGATGTTATTTTAAGGATAGCAGTTGAGTCACTGACTTTACATGCTAGTTCTTACTGACGAACCAACGCAGATAAAGCAAATGACAGAAACCCAGTGGTGTAAGATTTTAAAATCTGCCCCTGGGGATTTCTGAATTAGCTCTCTTTAGGAAGAGAGAATAAAAGGGAAAGAGAGGGGGAAAAAATCCCACCTCCAGGGGGCAGTGAATACTTCAGAGTCTTTGGGCCAAAGGAGTTTTTAAAAGACAGTCTAGTCCAGTCCCCTAAGATTTTAATCATCTCCGCAGCATTTCCTGGCTATAGCTTTGAACAAACACATCTAGGGAAAGAGAATGCTGTACCCCTGAAAGCAGCTCATTATGAGCAGGGGTGGCTCTGGGGCCTGGAAACTCGTTCAAGCATTTTGGGAGCTGCTGCCATATGCCTACCAGATCACGGAGCTAGAGGTAGATAAAGAGGCATAACAAGTGTCCCAGCTTACACAGTGCCCCACCCTCTTGTGAACAGTAACCAAGTGAGAAAATAATTGACATTCGTACAATGAGAGAAATATTAATATTATGAATCTGAACAAAATGCCAGGACCTTGAGAGATAAGTAGGATTTTTAACAGGTAGAGATAAGAGAATAGAAAAAAGACATATCAGAGAGTCCAAAGGAGTACAGATACAGAGTCGGGAAGCCCTAAGCCACATATGAGCATTGTTTAATTTAAACCTATGACATGAGTTCCAGGGAAGGAAAACAGTTGCCTGCTGTGCCTCTAGTGATGTGATCCTGGTAGTCACTGAGGTCACCCTGGTGTGTCACATCTGCCCCCATGGTTAGCCAGGACACAGTGAAAGCACTTTCATCATAACACTGGATAGTCCTGGGTGATTAAAGTCTTTCCATGTTTTTTTTTTTTAGATTAAATTTCAAGTGTCTTATAGAGAGAGGTATTTCTAAATAGTGACTAAGCAACAGAACCTCCCTGTACCTCCACAAGCTGAGCTCCACTAAAAGACTTGAGAGCACTAGCCACTCAGAACGTTGTGCTGTGTAAGAGCAGCAAGGATGGAATCTTTCTTATCAGTGGAGACAGAAAAGTCATTTCGCAAGAAGACTGACTAATGTTCTGAATCCTGCCAGCGAGTCCACAACATACCACAGTTTCCCTTTTTGTTGAACTACACCACCATGAAGAATCATTTCTGCTAGCAGTGTTTTACCCAGAA